ATAACCTGCCCGAAGAGCTCCTCGGGGGTGTCCCCAAAGAAGGGCACGCACCCCACCAGGAACTCATAGAGGACGATGCCCATCGCCCACCAGTCCACGGGCTTCCCATAGCCCTGCCGCAGGATCACCTCGGGGGCGATGTACTCGGGGGTCCCGCACACCTATGGGGCAGGAAGTGGGGGGGTTTGGTGGTACCCATGGTACCCCCCCCCTCCATCCCAATCCCATCCCAATCCCTACCTGCTTGTCCCGGAATTCCCGAGCATCCTTTTCCATGTGGCCCTCGTAGAGGTTGGTGGTGAGGCTCATGAGCCCCATCTTGGAGAGCCCGAAGTCCGTGAGCTTCACATGGCCCAAGGAGGTGATGAGGAGGCTGCGGGTGGGACCCATAGATCAAGGGGGGGGGGACCCACACATTGGGGTGGGACCCATAGATCAAGGGGGGGGGACCCACACATTGGGGTGGGATCCATGCATTGGGGTGGGACCCATGGCTCTGGGGAGGGGGGACCCACACATTGGGGTGAGATCCACACATTGGGGTGGGACCCATAGTTCAGGGGGAGGACCCACACATTGGGGTGGGAAACACGGCTCGGAGGGGGGACCCACACATTGGGGTGGGAAACACACATTGGGGTGGGACCCATGGTTCAGGGGGAGGACCCACACATTGGGGTGGGATCCATGCATTGGGGTGGGAAACACACATTGGGGTGGGACCCATGGCTCAGGGAGGGGGGGGGATGGACCCATGGCTTCGGGGGGGGGATCCACACATTGGGGTGGGATCCATGCATGGGGTGGGATCCATGCATTGGGGTGGGACCCACACATTGGGGTGGGGGATCCACTCATTGGGGTGGGACCCATGCATTGGGGTGGGACCCACAGATGGGGATGGGACCCATACATAGGGGTGGGACCCACACATTGGGATGGGACCCACGCATGGGGATGGGACCCATACATCCCATACATAGGGACGGGACCCACATGTTGGGATGGGACCCATGCATTGGGGTGAGACCCACACATAAGGATGGGACCCACTCATGGGGATGGGACCCACACGTTGGGACGGGACCCATACATAGGGATGGGAACCACACATTGGGATGTGACCCATGCATGGGGGTGGGACCCACACATGGGGATGGGACCCACACATGGGGATGGGACCCACACATGGGGATGGGACCCACACATGGGGATGGGACCCACACATGGGGATGGGACCCACACATGGGGATGGGACCCACACATCAGGATGGGACCCACAGATGGGGATGGGACCCACACATGGGGATGGGACCCACACATGGAGATGGGACCCACACATGGGGATGGGACCCACACATAAGGATGGGACCCACACATGGGGATGGGACCCACGCATGGGGATGGGACCCACACATTGGGATGGGACCCACACATTGGGATGTGACCCATGCATGGGGGTGGGACCCACACATCAGGATGGGACCCACTCATGGGGATGGGACCCACGCATGGGGATGGAACCCATACATAGGGACGGGAACCACATATTGGGATGTGACCCATGCATGGGGGTGGGACCCACACATGGGGATGGGACCCACACATGGGGATGGGACCCACACATGGGGATGGGACCCACAGATGGGGATGGGACCCACAGATGGGGACGGGACCCACACATGGGGATGGGACCCACAGATGGGGACGGGCCCCCCCCCTGCCGGCTCCGGACCCACTTGTCGGGCTTGAGGTCGCGGTGGACGATGCCGTAGTTGTGCAGGTACTCGAGGGCCAGCACGGTCTCGGCGAAGTAAAGCCGGGCCAGCTCCAGCGGCAGCGCCCCGATGTGCTTCAGCAGCGTGGCACAGTCCCCGCCTGGGGGGGGGCACGACATGGGGGGGTGTCATGATATGGAGGGGGGTGTCACGATATGGGGGGGGGGGTGTCACGATATGGGGGGGTGTCACGATATGGGAGGGGGGGGTGTCACGATATGGGGCGATGCCACGATATGGGGGGTGTGTCACGATATGGGGGGGTGGGGTGGGGTGTGGTGTCACGATATGGGGGTGTCATTATATGGGGGGGTGTGGTGTCATGATTTGGGAGGATGCCACGATATGGGAGGGGTGTCACGATATGGGGGTGTCACGATATGGGGATGTCATGATATGGGGGGTGGTGTCACGACATGGGGGGGTGTCACATATGGGGGTGTCACGACACAGGGGGGTGGGGTGTGGTGTCACGATTTGGGAGGATGCCATGATATGGGGGTGTGGCATCATATGGAGGGTGTGTCACGACATGGGGGGGGGGTGTCACTATTTGGGGGGATGCCACGATATAGGGGGTGTGTCACGACATGGGGGGGTGTCACGATATGGAGGGTGTGTCACAATAGGGGGGTGTGTCACGATATGGGGGGTGTGTCACGATATGGGGGTGTGTCACGACATGGGAGGGGGGGTTGTCACGATTTGGGGGGATGCCACGATATAGGGGGTGTGTCACGACATGGGGGGTGTCATGATATGGGGGTGTGGTGTCATGATTTGGGGGGATGCCACAATATGGGGGTGTGTCACGATATGGAGGGGGTGTCACGATATGGGGGTGTCACAATACGGGGGGGTGTGGGGTGTGGTGTCACGATTTGGGGGGATGCCACGATATGGGGGGTGTGTCACGATATGGGGGTGTGTGTCACGATATGGGGGTGTCACAATATGGGGGGGTGTCACGATATGGAGGGGGTGTCACGATATGGGGGGGTGTCACAATATGGAGGGTGTGTCACGACATGGGGGGGTGTCACGATTTGGGGGGATGCCACGATATAGGGGGTGTGTCACAACATGGGGGGGGTGTCACGATATGGAGGGTGTGTCATGATATGGGGGGTGGGTCATGATATGGGGGTGTGTCACGATATGGGGGTGTGTCACGACATGGGGGGTGTCATGATATGGGGGTGTGGTGTCATGATTTGGGGGGATGCCACGATATGGGGGGTGTGTCACGACATGGGGGGGGTCACAATATGGGGTGTGTGTCACTATATCGGGGTGTCATGATAGGGGGGATGTCACAATATGGGGGTTGTGTGCGGGTGTGGTGTCACAATATGAGGGGATGCCACAATATGGGGGGTGTGTCACGACATGGTGGGGGGGTCACGATATCGGGGGTGTCACAATATGGGGGGGGTGTGTCACGATATCGGGGTGTCATGATATGAGGGTGTCACGATATGGGGGGTGTCACTATATGGGGGTTTTGTGGGGGTGTGGTGTCACAATATGGGGGGGATGTCATGATGTGGGGGTGTGTCACAACATGGGGGTGTGTCACGATATCGGGGGGTGTCACGATATGGAGGGTGTGGGGGGTGGTGGTGTCGCGATTTGGTGGGGATGCTACGATATGGCCGACCCGGTCGCGACGTGGATGGGTCTGTCGTGACATGAACCACCCCACTGTGACATGAATCACCCCATTGTGACATGAACTGCCCTGCTGTGACATAAACCACTCTGTACCATGATAGCTGGACCCGTATCGCGATATCCAGACCAGTATCATGATACCCAGCCCCCATATCACCTAATATTGCGTTACCCAGCCGTATATCATGATGCCCTGGCCCCATATCACCACGTATCGTGATACCCATCCCAGTATCATGATACCCTGGCCACATACCACCTAATATCACTACACCCACCCCACTATCGTGATACTTCGGCCCCATAACACTTGCTATCATGACAGGCATCCCAGTCTCATGATACCCTGGCCCTGCATCACCTAATATTGTGATACCATCCCAGTATCGCAATACCCATCCCAGTATCACGATACCCTGGCCACATGCCACCTAATGTCACGACACCCACCCCACTATCGTGACACTTCGGCCTCATATCACCTGCTATCATGACAGGCATCCCAGTCTCATGATACCCTGGCCCCACATCATCTAATATCGTGATACCATCCCAGTATCGCAATACTCATCCCTGTATCGCAATACCCATCCCAGTATTGCAATACCCATCCCAGTATCACGATACCCATCCCAGTATCGCGATACCCATCCCAGTATTGCAATACCCATCCCAGTATCACGATACTCTGGCCACATACCACCTAATATCACGACACCCACCCCACTATCGAGATACTTCGGCCCCATATCACCTAATATCATGACAGGCATCCCAATCTCACGCCACCCTGGCTCCACATCACCTAATATCGCGATGCCCATCCCAGTATCTCAATACCCATCCCAGTATCGCGATACCCATCCCAGTATTGCAATACCCATCCCAGTATTGCAATACCCATCCCAGTATCACGATACTCTGGCCACATACCACCTAATATCACGACACCCACCCCACTATCGTGACACTTCGGCCCCATATCACCTGCTATCATGACAGGCATCCCAATCTCACACCACCCTGGCTCCACATCACCTAATATCGCGATGCCCATCCCAGTATCGCGATACCCATCCCAGTATCGCGATACCCATCCCAGTATTGCAATACCCATCCCAGTATCGCGATACCCTGGCCACATACCACCTAATATCACGACACCCACCCCACTATCGAGATACTTCGGCCCCATATCACCTAATATCATGACAGGCATCCCAGTCACATGATACCCTGGCCCCACATCATCTAATATTGTGATACCATCCCTGTATTGCAATACCCATCCCAGTATTGCAATACCCATCCCAGTATCGCGATACCCTGGCCACATACCACCTAATATCACGACACCCACCCCACTATCGTGACACTTCGGCCCCATATCACCTGCTATCATGACAGGCATCCCAATCTCATGCCACCCTGGCTCCGCATCACCTAATATCGCGACACCCAGCCCAGTACAGCGATTAACCGGGCCCCGCATCACCTCATATCGCGACACCCATCCCAGTCTCACGCCACCCTGGCCCCGTATCACCTAATATCGCGACACCCATCCCAGTCTGGCCCACATCACCTCATATCGCGACACCCATCCCAATCTCACGCCACCCTGGCCCCGTATCACCTAATATCGCGACACCCATCCCAGTCTCACGCCACCCTGGCCCCGCATCACCTAATATCGCGACACCCATCCCAGTACGGCGATTAACCGGGCCCCGCATCACCTCATATCGCGACACCCATCCCAGTCTCACGCCACCCTGGCCCCGCATCACCTAATATCGCGACACCCAGCCCAGTACGGCGATTAACCGGGCCCCACATCACCTCATATCGCAACACCCATCCCAGTCTCACACCACCCTGGCTCCGCATCACCTAATATCGCGACACCCATCCCAGTCTCACGCCACCCCGACCTCGCATCACCCGCTATCGCGCTATATCGCGACATACACCCCCCCCGCCACGCACCTTCCACGTACTCCATGACCATGCAGAGGTGGCGGCGGGTCTGGAAGGAGCAGAAGAGGCTGACGACGAAGGGGTTCTCGGCGAAGGTGAGGATGTCGCGCTCCACGAAGGCCTGCTCCACCTGGTTGCGCAGGAGCAGGTTCTGCTTGTTGATCTTCTTCATGGCGAAGCGCTGCCGCGTGGCGCGGTGCCGCACCAGGTACACGGCCCTGCCGGGGCGAGCGGGACGTCAGCGGGGTGAGGGGACAGAGCCGGCCACAGCCCAATCCCTATTTGATCCCCCATCGCCACCCCCATCCCCATCCGCATGCTGAACCCCATCCCCATCCCATCCCCCACCCAATTCCCACCCCATCCCCATCCCATTCCCATCCCCAAACCCCATCCCCACCCCCATCCCCAACCCTATCCCGAACCCCATCCCCATCCCCATCCCATCCCCACCCCCATCCCCATTCCCCATCCCAATCTCCATTCCCCCATCCCCACCCCCACCCCCATCCCTATCCTCACCCCTATCCCCACCCCGACCCCCAAGCCCATCCCATCCCTTCCCCATCCCCATCTCCACCCCCATCCCGAACCCCATCCCCATCCCCCATCCCCATCCCTATCCTCACCCCCATCCCCATCCCCACCCCCCCCATCCCATCCCCACCCCCACCCCCATCCCATCCCCATCCCCATCCTCACCCCCACTCCCATCTCCACCCCCATCCCATCCCCACCATCCCATCCCCACCACCCCATCCCCATCCCCACCATCCCATCCCATCCCCACCATCCCATCCCCACCCCCACCACCCATCCCCCATCCCCATCCCCACCACCCCATCCCCATCCCACCCCCATCCCCCCCCATCCCCACCCATCCCCACCCCATCCCGACCCCATCCCACCCCCATCCCACCCCCATCCCCATCCCATCCCCACCCCCATCCCCCTCCCATCCCCATCCCATCCCCACCCCCATCCCACCCTCATCCCATCCCCACCCCCATCCCCATCCAGAACCCATCCTCACCCCTATCCCCACCCCCACCCCCAACCCCATCCCATCCCATCCCCATCCCCACTCCTATCTCCACCCCCATCCCATCCCCATCCCCACCCCCATCCCATCCCCATCCCCATCCCCCATCCCCCATCCCCATCCCCCATCCCATCCCCATCCCCCATCCCCACCCCCATCCCATCCCATCCCTCTCTATCCCACCCCATCCCACCCTATCCGACCCCACCCCATTACCCCCATCCCATCCCATCCCCATCCATCCCCACCCCCCCCACATGTTGTTAGCATGTTGCCGGACACAGGATCGTGCCCTCCCCCTCCCCCCGTGCCCCTCCCCCCCCACGCACCCATAGGCGCCGTTGCTGATGAGTTTGATGGTCTCGAAGTCGCCTTCCCCCGGGGGCTTCTTGGTGTGGGGGGGGGCCCGGCCCTGAGGGGGGGATGGGGGGATGAGGGGGGGGGTGGGGGGCTGGGGGTGGGGGGATGGGGACTCGCGTGGTGCTGGCACCCACCTCGGTGCCGTCATCGGGCTCCGGCGTGTGGGTGCCACTGCTGTCGCGCTCCTCGAGGTGGGTCATGTCTGGGGGACATGGGGGGCAGGGGTGTGGGGGGACATCATGGGGGTCAGGGGTGTGGGGGGACATCATGGGGGGCAGGGGTGTGGGGGGACATCATGGGGATCAGGGGTGTGGGGGACATGGGGGGACATCATGGGGGTCAGGGGTGTGGGGGACAGGGGTGTGGGGGGACATCATGGGGGGGTGTGGGGGGACAGGGGTGTGGGGGCATCATGGGGGTCATGTGGGGTCAGGGGTGTGGGGGACATCATGGGGGTCAGGGGTGTGTGGGGGGCATGGTGGGGGGACATCATGGGGGTCAGGGGTGTGGGGGGACATCATGGGGGGGGGACATCAGGGGTGTGGGGGACATCATGGGGGTCAGGGGTGTGGGGGACATCATGGGGGTCAGGGGTGTGTGGGGACATGGGGGTCATGGGTGTGGGGGGACATCATGGGGGTCAGGGGTGTGGGGGACATCATGGGGGTCATGGGGGTCATGGGGTGTGTGGGGGGACATCATGGGGGTGTGGGGGGACATGGGGGTGGGGTGGGGGGACATCATGGGGGGCAGGGGTGTGGGGGGACATGGGGGTCAGGGGTGGGGGGGGACATCATGGGGGTGTGTGGGGGACATCATGGGGGGCAGGGGTCAGGGGTGTGTGGGGGACATCATGGGGGGCAGGGGTGTGGGGGGACATCATGGGGGTGTGGGGGGACATCATGGGGGTCAGGGGTGTGGGGGGACATCATGGGGGTCAGGGGTGTGGGGGGGACATCATGGGGGTCAGGGGTGTGGGGGGACATCATGGGGGGGGTGTGGGGGGACAGGGGTGGGGTGTGGGGACATCATGGGGGTGTGGGGGACAGGGGGGGGCAGGGGTGTGGGGGACATCATGGGGTGTGGGGGACATGGGGGGCAGGGGGGACATCATGGGGGGCAGGGGTGTGGGGGACATCATGGGGGGCAGGGGTGTGGGGGGACATCATGGGGGTCAGGGGTGTGGGGGGACATCATGGGGGGCAGGGGTGTGGGGGGACATCATGGGGGGCAGGGGTGTGGGGGGACATCATGGGGGTCAGGGGTGTGGGGGACATCATGGGGGTCAGGGGTGTGGGGGACATCATGGGGGGCAGGGGTGTGGACATCATGGGGGGCAGGGGTGTGGGACATGGGGGACAGGGGTGCAGGGGTGGGGGGTCATGGGGGTCATGGGGGTCATGGGGGTCAGGGGTGTGGGGGGACATCATGGGGGTCATGGGTGTGGGGGGACATCATGGGGGGCAGGGGTGTGGGGGGACATCATGGGGGGCAGGGGTGTGGGGGGACATCATGGGGGTCAGGGGTGTGGGGGGACATCATGGGGGTCATGGGTGTGGGGGGACATGGGGGTCATGGGTGTGGGGGGACATCATGGGGGTCATGGGTGTGGGGGGACATGGGGGGCAGGGGTGTGGGGGACATCATGGGGGGCAGGGGTGTGGGGGGACATCATGGGGGTCATGGGTGTGGGGGACATCATGGGGGGCAGGGGTGTGGGGATACATGAGGTGTCATGTGTGTATTGGGACATGGGGTGTCACATGTATGGCGACATGGGTACCACGTGGTGGCATACAAGCAACCACACATGTGCAGGCACATGGGGCGTCATACATGTGCAGGGACACACGTGTGGGGACCCAGCTCATCCCACATCCATGGGGACACCCCACACCCCCCCCATACCCCCCATGTCCCACCCCCCCCCACCCAACGCATGTTAACCCCCCCGGAGGCACGCGCTAAGCGTGTGCTAAGCGTGTGCTAAGCGTGTGCTAAGCATGTACCGGGGAAGGGGTCCCGCGCCAGCCCCAGCTGCCCGATGATGTAACGGGGGATGTCGGCCTTGAGCCTCCCCTCGCGGGCCTGGCCCTCGGCAGCCGCCAGCAGCTGATAGAACTCGGCCGGGTCGAACTCCTGCGCCAACACGGCTCGTCATGCGTGTGCTCGGACACACGAACATGGCTCGTCATGTGTGTGAACGGACACACGAACACGGCTCGTCATGCGTGTGCTCGGACACACGAACATGGCTCGTCATGTGTGTGAACGGACACACGAACACGGCTCGTCACGCGTGTGCTCGGACACACGAACACGGCTCGTCATGCGTGTGCTCGGACACACGAACACGGCTCGTCACGTGTGTGAACGGACACACGAACATGGCTCGTCGTGTGTGAACGGACACACGAACATGGCTCGTCATGTGTGTGAACGGACACACGAACATGGCTCGTCATGTGTGTGAACGGACACACGAACATGGCTCGTCATGTGTGTGAACGGACACACGAACAGGGCTCGTCATGTGTGTGAACGGACACACGAACATGGCTCGTCACGTGTGTGCACGGACACATGAACACGGCTCGTCATGTGTGTGAACGGACACACGAACATGGCTCGTCACGCGTGTGCTCGGACACACGAACACGGCTCGTCATGTGTGTGAACGGACACACGAACATGGCTCGTCATGTGTGTGAACGGACACATGAACACGGCTCGTCATGTGTGTGAACGGACACACGAACACGGCTCGTCATGTGTGTGAACGGACACACGAACATGGCTCGTCACGCGTGTGAACGGACACACGAACATGGCTCGTCATGTGTGTGAACGGACACACGAACACGGCTCGTCATGTGTGTGCTCGGACACACGAACACGGCTCGTCACGCGTGTGAACGGACACACGAACACGGCTCGTCACGCGTGTGCTCGGACACACGAACACGGCTCGTCACGTGTGTGAACGGAGACATGAACACGGCTCGTCACGTGTGTGAACGGACACATGAACACGGCTCGTCACGTGTGTGAACGGACACATGAACACGGCACGTCATGCGTGTGAACGGACACACGAACACGGCTCGTCACGCGTGTGCTCGGACGCACGAACACGGCTCGTCATGCGTGTGAACGGACACACGAACATGGCTCGTCACGTGTGTGCACGGACACATGAACACGGCTCGTCACGCGTGTGAACGGACACACGAACATGGCTCGTCATGTGTGTGAACGGACACACGAACACGGCTCGTCATGCGTTTGCTCGGACACACGAACACGGCTCGTCATGTGTGTGAACGGACACACGAACACGGCTCGTCATGTGTGTGAACGGACACACGAACATGGCTCGTCACGCGTGTGAACGGACACACGAACATGGCTCGTCATGTGTGTGAACGGACACACGAACACGGCTCGTCATGTGTGTGCTCGGACACACGAACACGGCTCGTCACGCGTGTGAACGGACACACGAACACGGCTCGTCACGCGTGTGCTCGGACACACGAACACGGCTCGTCACGTGTGTGAACGGAGACATGAACACGGCTCGTCACGTGTGTGAACGGACACATGAACACGGCTCGTCACGTGTGTGAACGGACACATGAACACGGCACGTCATGCGTGTGAACGGACACACGAACACGGCTCGTCACGCGTGTGCTCGGACGCACGAACACGGCTCGTCATGCGTGTGAACGGACACACGAACATGGCTCGTCACGTGTGTGCACGGACACATGAACACGGCTCGTCACGCGTGTGAACGGACACACGAACATGGCTCGTCATGTGTGTGAACGGACACACGAACATGGCTCGTCATGTGTGTGAACGGACACACGAACATGGCTCGTCATGCGTGTGAACGGACACACGAACATGGCTCGTCATGCGTGTGAACGGACACACGAACACGGCTCGTCAGGCGTGTGAACGGACACACGAACACGGCTCGTCATGCGTGTGAACGGACACACGAACACGGCTCGTCATGTGTGTGAACGGACACACGAACACGGCTCGTCATGTGAGTGCTCGGACACACGAACACGGCTCGTCATGCGTGTGAACGGACACACGAACACGGCTCGTCATGTGTGTGAACGGACACACGAACACGGCTCGTCACGCGTGTGAACGGACACACGAACACGGCTCGTCATGCGTGTGAACGGACACACGAACACGGCTCGTCATGTGTGTGAACGGACACACGAACATGGCTCGTCATGCGTGTGAACGGACACATGAACATGGCTCGTCATGCGTGTGAACGGAATCACGAACATGGCTCGTCACGCGTGTGCTCGGACACACGAACATGGCTCGTCATGCGTGTGCTCAGACACACGAACATGGCTCGTCATGTGTGTGAACGGACACACGAACACGGCTCGTCACGCGTGTGAACGGACACACGAACACGGCTCGTCACGCGTGTGAACGGACACACGAACACGGCTCGTCACGCGTGTGAACGGACACACGAACACGGCTTGTCATGCGTGTGAACGGACACACGAACATGGCTCGTCATGCGTGTGAACGGACACACGAACACGGCTCGTCATGTGTGTGCTCGGACACACAAACACGGCTCGTCACGCGTGTGAACGGATACACGAACACGGCTCGTCACGCGTGTGAACGGACACACGAACACGGCTCGTCATGCGTGTGAACGGACACACGAACACGGCTCGTCACGTGTGTGAACGGACACACGAACACGGCTCGTCATGTGTGTGAACGGACACACGAACACGGCTCGTCATGCGTGTGCTCGGACACACGAACACGGCTTGTCATGTGTGTGCTCGGACACACGAACACGGCTCGTCACGCGTGTGCTCGGACACACGAACACGGCTCGTCATGCGTGTGCTCGGACACACGAACACGGCTCGTCATGCATGTCAACGGACACACGAACACGGCTCGTCATGCGTGTGCTCGGACACACGAACACGGCTCGTCATGCGTGTCAACGGACACACGAACATGGCTCGTCATGCGTGTGAACGGACACACGAACATGGCTTGTCATCCGTGTGAACGGACACACGAACACGGCTCGTCAGGCGTGTGAACGGACACACGAACACGGCTCGTCACGCGTGTGAACGGACACACGAACATGGCTCGTCACGCGTGGGTTGGACAGACGCTCATGCTTTGTCATGCATGTGAACGGACACACGCACACGCCTCATCACACGTGGGCCGGACACACGCACACGCCTTGTCATGTGTGTGCTTGGACACACAAACATGCCTCGTCACGCGTGGGTTGGACACATGCACACACCTTGTCATGCATGTGGGGATGGGGATGGGATGGGGTGGGGATGGGGATGGGGATGAAGATGAAGATGGGGATGGGGATGGGGATGGGGATGGGGATGAGGATGAGGATGAGGATGAGGATGAGGATGAGGATGAGGATGAGGATGAGGATGAGGATGGGGGGGGGATGGGATGGGGATGGGGATGGGGATGGGGATGGTATGGGGTGGGATGGGGTGGGATGGGATGGGGATGAAGATGAAGGTGGGGATGGGGATGGGGTGGGATGGGGATGGGATGGGAATGGGATGGGGATGAGGATGGGAATGGGAATGGGGATGAGGATGGGGATGGAGATGGGGATGAAGATGAGGATGGGGATGGGATAAGGATGGGGATGGAGATGGGGATGAGGATGTAATAGGGATGAAGATGAAGATAGGGATGGGGATGGGGATGAGGATGGGGTGGGGATGGGGTGGGAATGGGGTGGGGATGGGGTGGGAATGGGATGGGAATGGAATGGGATTGGGAATGGGGTGGGGATGGGATGGGGATGGGGATTGGGATGGGGATGAAGATGAAGATAGGGATGGGATGGGGATGGGGTGGGGATGGGATGGGGATGGGGATGGGATGGGGATGGGATGGGGATGAGGATGTAATAGGGATGAAGATGAAGATAGGGATGGGGATGGGGATGAGGATGGGGTGGGGATGGGATGGGGATGGGGATGGGGATGGGGGTCCCGGGGGTCTCACCAGGCACTCGAGCAGCCGCGCAGGGCGGGAGATGATGATGAGGAGCTTCTTCACCAGTTGGGTGATGAAGGCCACCTCCTCCGACTCGGAGCGCTCGTAGGCCTGGGGGGCACACAGGACAATGGGGGGTCAGGGGAGTGCGGGGGGATGGTGGGGGGGGTCCCATGGGGTGCCTGGTGGGGGTGCTGGTGTCTCCCCGTTAGGTGTTGAGGGTGCCATTGGGACTAATTGGGGGTTGGTTGGTCCCTGCTAGGTCCCGTTGGGCCCCGCTGGGTGCCATCGGGTCCTGCTGAGCCCCATTTGGTGCCGTTGGGCCCCATTGAGTCCCGTTGGGTCCCACTGGGTGCCGTTGAGTCCCATTGGGTCCTATTGAGTTCCATTGGGTCCCATTGAGTCCCATTGGGTCCTACTAAGTCCCATTGGGTGCCATTGGGTCCTATTGAGTCCCATTGGGTCCCACTGAGTCCCATTGGGTCCTACTGAGTCCCGTTGGGTGCCATTGGGTCCCATTGGGTCCTACTGAGTCCCGTTGGGTGCCATTGGGTCCCATTGAGTCCCGTTGGGTCCCACTGGCTGCCATTGAGTCCCATTGGGTCCCATTGAGTCCCATTGGGTCCTATTGAGTCCCGTTGGGTGCCATTGGGTCCCATTGAGTCCTTCTGAGTCCTGTTGGGTCCCATTGGTTCCCACTGAGTCCCCTTGGGTCCCATTGAGTCCCTCTGAATCCCATTGGGTCCCATTGAGTCCAACTGCATGCTATTGAGTCCATTGGGCCCCACTGGGTCCTGTTGAGTCCCGTTGGGTCCCATTGAGTCCCATTGGGTCCCTCTGAGTCACGTTGGGTCCCGTTGGTTCCCATTGAGTTCCGTTGGGCCCAACTGGGTCCCATTGGGTCCTGTTTAGGCCCGTTGGGTCCTATTGAGTCCTGTTGGGTGCCATTGGGTCCCATTGAGTCCCTTTGAGTCCCGTTGGGTCCCGTTGGTTCCCATTGAGTCCCGTTGGGTCCCATTGGGTCCCATTGAGTCCCATTGAATCCCACTGGGTTCCATTGGGTCCCATTGAGTCCCGTTGAATCCCATTGAGTCCTGTTGAATCCCATTGAGTCCCGTTGAATCCCATTGGGTCCCATTGAGTCCCCTTGAATCCCATTGGGTCCCATTGAGTCCCGTTGAATCCCATTGGGTCCCACTGGGTCCCACTGAGTCCCCTTGAATCCCATTGGGTCCCACTGAGTCTCCTTGAATCCTATTGAGTCCCATTGAATCCCATTGAATCCCATTGAGTCCCATTGAATCCCATTGAATCCCATTGCCTCCCATTGAATCCCATTGAATCCCATTGGGTCCCATTGAGTCCCGTTGAATCCCATTGGGTCCCATTGAGTCCCGTTGAATCCCATTGGGTCCCATTGAGTCCCGTTGAATCCCATTGGGTCCCATTGAGTCCCGTTGAATCCCATTGGGTCCCATTAGATCCCATTGAGTCCCCTCGAATCCCATTGGGTCCCACCGAGTCCCCTCGAATCCCATTGCGCTCACGTCCTGCAGCAGCCGCTCCATGTTCTCCTGCAGCTCGTAGAAGTAGCCGGCGGTGATGAGGCCGTGGCGGGCCTTGGCCAAGCAGTCGCGCGCCAGCTCCACCAGCTGGTGCTGGATGAAGCTGAGGGCGCCGTCGGCCAATGGCGTCCCCCCGGGGCCGCAGCCGCGCACGAACTCCTCCAACCGCTCCTCCATCTGCGCCGTGGCCTGCGGGACCCACGGCAGACCCCTTGAGACCCATGGGGTGCCACTGAGGTCCCTTGGGTGCCATTGAGACCCATTGGGTGCCATTGAGTCCCATTGGGTGCCATTGAGTCCCATTGGGTCCCATTGAGTCCCATTGGGCGTCATTGAGTCCCATTGGATCCCATTGAGCTCCCTTGGGTCTCATTGAGTTCCCTCAGGTCCCATTGAGTTCCCTCAGGTCCCATTGAGTCCCATTGGGTCCCATTGAGTCCCATTGGGTCCCATTGAGTCCCATTGTGTCCCATTGAGTTCCCTCAGGTCCCATTGAGTCCCATTGGGTCCCATTGAGCTCCCTTGGGTCCCATTGGGCCCCCTTGAGTCCCATGGGGTGCCACTGAGGTCCCTTGGGTGCCACTGAGTCCCATTGGGTGCCATTGAGTCCCATTGGGTCCCATTGAGTCCCACTGGGTGCCATTGAGTTCCCTTGGGTCCCATTGGGTGCCATTGAGTTCCCTCAGGTCCCATTGAGGCCCACTGGGTCCCATTGAGTCCCATTGGGTGCAATTGAGTTGCCTCAGGTCCCATTGAGTCCCATTGGGTGCCATTGAGTCCCATTGGGCCCCATTGAGTCCCGTTGGTTCCCATTGAGTCCCATTGGGTGCCATTGAGTCCCATTGGGCGCCATTGAGTCCCATTGGGCCCCATTGAGTCCCATTGGGTGCCACTGAGGTCCCTTGGGTGCCATTGAGTCCCATTGGGTGCCATTGAGTTCCCTTGGGTCCCATTGGGTGCCATTGAGTTCCCTCAGGTCCCATTGAGTCCCATTGGGTGCCGTTGAGTTCCCTCAGGTCCCATTGAGTCCCACTGGGTGCCATTGGGCCCCATTGAGTCCCATTGGGTGCTATTGAGTTCCCTTGGGTCCCATTGAGTTCCCTCAGGTCCCATTGAGTCCCATTGGGTCCCATTGAGTCCCATTGGGTGCCATTGAGTTCCCTCAGGTCCCATTGAGTCCCATTGGGTGCCATTGAGTTCCCTTGGGTCCCATTAAATCCCATTGGGTCCCATTGAGTTCCCTGAGATCCCATTGAGTTCCCTTGGGTCCCATTGAGTCCCATTGGGTGTCATTGAGTCCCACTGGGTGCCATTGAGTCCCATTGGGTCCCATTGAGTCCCATTGGGTGCCATTGAGTTCCCTTGGGTCCCATTAAATCCCATTGGGTCCCATTGAGTTCCCTTGGGTCCCATTGAGTTCCCTTGGGTCCCATTGAGTTCCCTTGGGTCCCATTGATCCCACAACCTCCTCCCGTGCCCCATAGCTCCCCACCACCACCCCATAACCTCCTCCAGTGCCCCATAGACACCCCCCCCCCCAGACCCCACCTTGGGGAATCGCTCCTTGTAGACGTGGTTCATCATCACGATCTCATTGTCATGGGACGAGGGAGAGCGGCCAGGGCTGTGGGGCACACATGGGGCACACAGCGGTGGCACCCATGGGACCCACAGTGCCCCTGCGGTGGCCCCATTGACTCCGCATGGGTGCCCCATGCCCCTCCTGTGTCCCACCCCACACTGTACCCCCCGCCCCCCAGCATTCCCCAATGGTGACCCCCAACCCCTGCTCACCCCACAGCGCTCCCGATGCTCTTTAGGACCCCATTCCCCAATGGTGACCCCCAACCCCTGCTCACCCCACAGCGCTCCCGATGCTCTTTAGGACCCCATTCCCCAATGGTGACCCCCAACCCCTTGCTCACCCCACAGCGCTCGTTCCCCCACAGATGCTCTTTAGGACCCCATTCCCCAATGGTGACCCCCAACCCCTGCTCACCCCACAGCGCTCCCGATGCTCTTTAGGACCCCATTCCCCAATGGTGACCCCCAACCCCTGCTCACCCCACAGCGCTCCCGATGCTCTTTAGGACCCCATTCCCCAATGGTGACCCCCAACCCCTGCTCACCCCACAGCGCTCCCGATGCTCTTCAGGACCCCATTCCCCAATGGTGACCCCCAACCCCTGCTCACCCCACAGCGCTCCCGATGCTCTCTAGGACCCCATTCCCCAATGGTGACCCCCAACCCCTGCTCACCCCACAGCGCTCCCGATGCTCTTTAGGACCCCATTCCCCAATGGTGACCCCCAACCCCTGCTCACCCCACAGCGCTCCCGATGCTCCTTAGGACCCCATTCCCCAATGGTGACCCCCAACCCCTGCTCACCCCACAGCGCTCCCGATGCTCTTTAGGACCCCATTCCCCAACGGTGACCCCCAACCCCTGCTCACCCCACAGCGCTCCCGATGCTCTTTAGGACCCCATTCCCCAATGGTGACCCCCAACCCCTTGCTCACCCCACAGCGCTCCCGATGCTCTTTAGGACCCCATTCCCCAATGGTCCCCAATGGTGACCCCCAACCCTTGCTCACCCCACAGCGCTCCCGATGCTCTTTAGGACCCCATTCCCCAATGGTGACCCCCAACCATTGCTCACCCCACAGCGCTCCCGATGCTCTTTAGGACCCCATTCCCCAATGGTGACCCCCAACCCTTGCTCACCCCACAGCGCTCCCGATGCTTTCTAGGACCCCATTCCCCAATGGTGACCCCCAACCCCTTGCTCACCCCATAGCCCCCCCATCGCCCCCCACCTGAGGCTGCGGGAGCGGGGCCGTGGGGCCGGGCCCCCCTCGTCCTCGGCCAGGCTCTGGGAGCTGCCGAAGTGGCGCGAGAGGAAACGCAGCTCCTCGGGCGTGGGTTGCGCCGGGAGCTGGTGCAGCCGCTCCTGCGACGAGCACGAGGACTGCGCGCCCGCGTCACCGCCCGCCCCATAGGCACCCATAGAGACCCATAGAGACACATAGAGACCCATAGGGACCCATAGAGACCCATAGAGACCCATAGAGACACATAGAGACACATAGAGACACATAGAGACCCATAGAGACACATAGAGACCCATAGAGACACATAGAGACCCATAGAGACCCATAGGGACATAGAGACACATAGAGACCCATAGAGACACATAGAGACCCATAGAGACCCATAGAGACCCATAGAGACACATAGGGACACATAGAGACACATAGAGACACATAGAGACACATAGAGACACATAGAGACACATAGAGACACATAGAGACCCATAGAGACCCATAGGGACACATAGAGACACATAGAGACCCCATAGAGACCCATAGAGACACATAGGGACCATAGGGACCCATAGAGACCCATAGAGACCCATAGAGACCCATAGAGACCCATAGAGACCCATAGAGACACATAGAGACCCATAGAGACACATAGGGACACATAGAGACACATAGGGACACATAGAGACACATAGAGACACATAGGGACACATAGAGACACATAGGGACACATAGAGACCCCCCAGCGCCCCATAGAGACCCATAGAGACCCCATAGAGACCCCCCAGTGCCCCATAGAGACCCATAGAGACCCCATAGAGACCTATAGCGCCCCATAGAGACCCCATAGAGACTCATAGAGACCCCCAGCGCCCCATAGAGACACATAGAGACCCCATAGAAACCCACAGCGCCCCATAGAGACCCCCCAGCGCCCCATAGAGACCCATAGAGACCCCATAGAGACCCACAGAGCCCCATAGAGACCCACAGAGCCCCCATAGAGACCCACCAACGCCCCATAGAGACCCATAGAGACCCCATAGAGACCCACCAGCGCCCCATAGAGACCCATAGAGACCCCATAGAGACCCCCCAGCGCCCCATAGAGACCCATAGAGACCCCATAGAGACCCCACAGCACCCCATAGAGACCCCATAGAGACACCACAGCGCCCCATAGAGACCCATAGAGACCCCATAGAGACCCCCAGCGCCCCATAGAGACCCCCCAGTGCCCCATAGAGACCCCATAGAGACCTGCCAGCGCCCCATAGAGACCCATAGAGACCCCATAGAGACGCCCCAGCGCCCCATAGAGACCCATAGAGACCCCATAGAGACCCACAGAGCCCCATAGAGACCCACAGAGCCCCCATAGAGACCCGCCAGCGCCCCACAGACGCATAGAGACCCCATAGAGACCCATAGCGCCCCATAGAGACCCCACAGCGCCCCATAGAGACCTCATAGAGACTCACAGCGCCCCATAGAGACCCATAGAGACCCATAAGGACCCGTACAGCCCCATAGGGACCCACAGCGCCCCATAGGGACCTATAGAGACCCACAGCGCCCCATAGAGACCCCCCAGCGCTCCATAGAGACCCATAGAGACCCCATAGAGATCCACAGCGCCCCATAGAGAACCATAGAGACCCCATAGAAACCCACAGTGCCCCATAGAGACCCCCCAGCGCCCCATACAGACCCCATAGAGATGCCCCAGTGCCACACAGAGACCCATAGAGACCCCATAGAGACCCCACAGCGCCCCATAGAGACCTCATAGAGACTCACAGCGCCCCATAGAGACCCATAGAGACCCCATAGAGAACCATAGAGACCCCATAGAGACCCATAGAGACCCCATAGAAACCCACAGCGCCCCATAGAGACCCCCCAGCGCTCCATAGAGACCCAGAGCCCCATAGAGACCCCATAGAGACCCCATAGAGACCCCCCAGCGCCCCATAGAGACCCATAGAGACACATAGAGACACATAGAGACCCCCAGCGCCCCATAGAGACGCATAGAGACCCCATAGAGACCCCATAGAGACCCCACAGCGCCCCATAGAGACCCATAGCGCCCCATAGAGACCCCATAGCGCCCCATAGAGACCCATAGCGCCCCATAGAGACCCGCCAGCGCCCCACAGATGCATAGAGACCCCATAGAGACCCATAGAGACCCCATAGAGACCCCCAGCGCCCCATAGAGACCCCCTAGACTCACCGAGACGGTGGAGCTGGGGGTGTTGGTGCCATACCCGGAGGAGGGCAGGGAGGCCAGAGACCAGCGGCGCCCATCGGCACTGGGGGGGCAGGGGGGGGATTTTGGGGGTGCCCCCAAGGTTTTACATCCCCCCCCCCCCCCGGGTATCAGGGTCCCCCCCATTGATTTCATCCCCTCCCCATTGATTTCATCCCCTCCCCATTGATTTCATCCCCTCCCCATTGATCTCATCCCCTCCCCATTGATCTCAGCCCCTATTGATCTCATCCCCTCCCCATTGATCTCACCCCCATTGATCTCACCCCCCCATTGATCTCATCCCCTCCCCATTGATCTCACCCCCATTGATCTCACCCCCCCATTGATCTCAGCCCCCCATTGATCTCACCCCCCCATTGATGTCAGCCCCCATTGATCTCAGCCCCCATTGATCTCAGCCCCCCCATTGATCTCACCCCCCATTGATCTCAGCCCCCCATTGATCTCACCCCCCCATTGATCTCACCCCCCCATTGATCTCAGCCCCCCATTGATCTCACCCCCCCATTGATCTCACCCCCCCATTGATCTCAGCCCCCCCATTGATCTCACCCCCCCATTGATCTCAGCCCCCCCCATAGATCTCATCCCCTCCCCATTGATCTCACCCCCCCCATTGATCTCACCCCCCCCATTGATCTCAGCCCCCATTGATCTCCCCCCCCATTGATCTCACCCCCCCCATTGATCTCAGCCCCCCCATTGATCTCATCCCCTCCCCATTGATCTCAGCCCCCATTGATCTCACCCTCCCCATTGATCTCAGCCCCTCCCCATTGATCTCAGCCCCCATTGATCTCACCCCCCATTGATCTCAGCCCCCCCCATTGATCTCCCCCCATTGATCTCATCCCCTCCCCATTGATCTCAGCCCCCCCATTGATCTCAGCCCCTCCCCATTGATCTCAGCCCCCCCATTGATCTCACCCCCCATTGATCTCCCCCCCATTGATCTCAGCCCCCCCATTGATCTCATCCCCCCATTGATCTCATCCCCTCCCCATTGATCTCAGCCCCCCCATTGATCTCACCCCCCATTGATCTCATCCCCCCATTGATCTCATCCCCTCCCCATTGATCTCCCCCCCATTGATCTCAGCCCCCCATTGATCTCACCCCCCCATTGATCTCACCCCCCCCATTGATCTCACCCCCCCATTGATCTCAGCCCCCCCATAGATCTCAGCCCCCCATTGATCTCATCTCCCCCCATTGATCTCACCCCCCCCATTGATCTCAGCCCCCCCATTGATTGATCCCCCATTGATCCCCTCCCCATTGATCTCAGCCCCCCCATTGATCTCAGCCCCCCCATTGATCTCACCCCCCCATTGATCTCACCCCCCCATTGATCTCAGCCCCCCCATTGATCTCATCCCCTCCCCATTGATCTCATCCCCTCCCCATTGATCTCAGCCCCCCCATTGGTCCCAGCCCCCCCCCATTGATCTCACCCCCCATTGATCTCACCCCCCCATTGATCTCACCCCCCTCATAGATCTCATCCCCTCCCCATTGATCTCACCCCCCATTGATCTCCTGCCCCATAGATCTCCCCCCCCCATAGATCTCACCCCCCCATTGATCTCCGCCCCCCCCATTGACCTCACCCCCATTGATCTCACCCCCCCATTGACCTCACCCCCCATTGATCTCACCCCCATTGACCTCACCCCCCATAGATCTCCCCCCCTCCCCCCCATAGATCTCCCCCCCCCCATAGATCTCACCCCCCCCTCACCGTCGGGAGGAGGCGAAGGAGAAGTGGGGGGCGCTGGGGGAGAAGTTTCGGGGGCTGTCCAGGGGGCTGCTCCCTGCGGGGGGAGGGGAAGGGGGCGGAGCTAGAGCGTGACGTCACCCCTGCCCTCCCAGACCCCGCCCACCCCAAGGCCCCGCCCACCGGAGGTGGGGGGGGGGGCTCTATGGGGGGGGATGGATGAGGGTTATTGGTGATTGGAGGGGGGGGGGGGGTTAACGTGGGGGGGTCCCCAAATTTACATGGGGGGGTTGGGGGTCTGAGGGGGGCAATGGGTCCATTGGGGGGGGGCTCATTGACTGGGGGGTGCCTCATGGAACCCTATGGGGGGCCCTATAGATCCCTGTGGGGGTCCCTATAGATCCCTATGGGTGGTCCCTATAGATCCCTATGGGGGTCCCTATAGATCCCTATAGATCCCTATGGGGGGTCCCTATGGATCCCTACGGGGGTCCCTATAGGTCCCTATGGGGGATCCCTATAGATCCCTATGGGGGTCCCTATGGATCCCTATGGGGGGTCCCTATAGATCCCTATGGGGGTCCCTATGGATCCCTATGGGGGGTCCCTATAGATCCCTATGGCGGTCCCTATGGATCCCTATGGGGGGTCCCTATAGATCCCTATGGGGGGTCCCTATAGATCTCTTTTGGGGGTCCCTATGGATCCCTATGGGGGTTCCTCTAGATCCCTATGTGGGTCCCTATGGATCCCTATGGGTGGTCCCTATGGATACCTATGGGGGGTCCCTATAGATCTCTTTTGGGGGTCCCTATAGATAACTATGGGGGTCCCTATGGATCCCTATGGGGGGTCCCTATAGATCCCTATGGGTCCCTATGGATCCCTATGACGTGTCCCTATAGATCCCTATGGGGGGTCCCTGTGGATCCCTATGCTGGGTCCCTATAGATCCCTATGTGTCCCTATAGATCCCTGTGGGGGTCCCTATAGATCCCTATAGGGTCCCTATGGATCCCTATGGGGGGTCCCTATAGATCCCTATGGGGGTCCCTGTGGATCCCTATGCTGGGTTCCTATAGATCCCTATGGGGGATCCCTATAGGTCCCTATGGGGGTTCCCTATGGATGCCTGTGGTGGTCCCTATGGATCCCTATGGGGGGTCCCTATAGATCCCTGTGGGGGTCCCTATAGATCCCTATGGGTGGTCCCTGTAGATCCCTATGGGTGGTCCCTATGGATCCCTATGGGGGTCCCTATAGATCCCTATGGGGGTCCCTATAGATCCCTATGGGTGGTCCCTGTAGATCCCTATGGGGGTTCCCTATGGATCCCTATGCTGGGTCCCTATAGATCCGTGTGGGGAGTCCCTATAGGTCCCTAAGGGGGTTCCCTATGGATGCCTGTGGGGGTCCCTATGGATCCCTGTGGGGGGCCCTATAGATCCCTATAGGGTCCCTATGGATCCCTATGGGGGGTCCCTATGGATCCCTATGGGGGGTCCCTATAGATCCCTGTGGGGGTCCCTATAGATCCCTATGGGGGGTCCCTATAGATCCCTGTGGGAGTCCCTATAGATCCCTATGGGGGTCCCTATAGAACCCTATGGGGGTCCCTATAGAACCCTATGGGGGTCCCTATAGAACCCTATGGGGGTCCCTATAGAACCCTATGGGGTCCCTATAGAACCCTATGGGGGTCCCTATAGAACCCTATGGGGTCGCTATGGATCCCTGTGTCTTTAAGGGCTCGAGGGGGGGGGGGGTGAGGACCCCGGGGGGGGGGAGGGGTCGGGGGGGGGAGGGGTCTCACCGATGTGCCCCGGTAGCGGCGAATGGGGGCGGGGCAGGGTGGGGGAGGTGCTCGTCAGGATCAGGCTCTTCCGGTTGCTCGTGCGGCAGCTGGGGGGGGGGAGGGGAGGTTATGGGGGGAGGGGGGGGGGGGGGGTCGGCATCCCCATAACCCCCCCCTCCCCCCAGCCCCCCCCCCCCATGTGTGGCATCACCCAAAGGGGGGGAAGCAGGAATGGAGGGACCTGGGGGGGGGGGAGGGGAATGGGGACCAGGATGGAGGAGGGGGAGGGGGGAGGATGAGGAGGGAGGGGGGATGAAGATGGGGAGGGGGGAGGATGAGGAGGGAGGGGGATGAAGATGGGGAAGGGGGAGGGGGGAGGATGAGGAGGGAGGGGGATGAAGATGGGGAGGGGGGAGGGGGGAGGATGAGGAGGGAGGGGGATGAAGATGGGGAGGGGGGAGGGGGGAGGATGAGGAGGGAGGGGGATGAAGATGGGGAGGGGGGAGGATGAGGAGGGAGGGGGATGAAGATGGGGAGGGGGGAGGATGAGGAGGGAGGGGGGAGGATGAAGATGGGGAGGGGGGAGGATGAGGAGGGAGGGGGGATGAAGATGGGGAGGGATGAAGGCCGAGGATGAGGAGGGAGGGGGTAGGGGTGGAGAAGGGCCAGGGGCTGAGGATGGGGATGGAGGAGGATGAGGATGGAGGAGGGATGAAGGCTGAGGACAGAGGGGGGATGGGGAGAGGGCTGGAGGGTGAGGATGGAAGGGGAATGAGGATGAGGATGGAGGGGGGGAGGGATGGAGAGGGAGGGAGGATGAGGAAGGAGAAGGAGGGATGGGGAAGGGATGAAGGCTGAGGATGAAGTAGGGATGGGGATGGAGAGAGGATGAGGATGGGGATGGGGATGGGGATGAAGCAGGGATAAGGATGGGGATGATGGGGATGGGGATGAGGATGGGGATGATGAGGATGAGGATGGGGATGGAGATGCAGCAGGGATGAGGATGAGGATGATGAGGATGGGGATGAGGATGAGGATGGGGATGGGGATGAAGCAGGGATGAGGATGAGGATGATGAGGATGAGGATGGGGATGAAGCAGGGATGGGGATGAGGATGATGAGGATGGGGATGGGGATGAGGATGGGGATGAAGCAGGGATGAAGATGGGGATGGGGATGAGGATGAGGATGGGGATGAAGCAGGGATGAGGATGAGGATGAAGCAGGGATGGGGATGGGGATGAAGCAGGGATGGGGATGAGGATGATGAGGATGGGGATGGGGATTAAGCAGGGATGAAGATGGGGATGGGGATGAGGATGGGGACGGGGATGAGGATGAAGCAGGGATGGGGGTGAGGATGGGGACAGGGACGAGGATGAAGCAGGGATGAGGATGGGGATGGGGATGAAGCAGGGATGGGGGTGAGGATGGGGACAGGGACGAGGATGAAGCAGGGATGAGGATGGGGATGGGGATGGGGATGGGGATGAAGCAGGGATGGGGGTGAGGATGGGGATGGGGATGGGGATGAGGATGAGGATGGGGATGAGGATGAAACAGGGATGAGGATGAGGATGGGGATGAGGATGGGGATGAAGCAGGGATGGGGATGGGGATGGGGATGAAGCAGGGATGAGGATGGGGATGAGGATGAAGCAGGGATGAGGATGAGGATGGGGATGAAGCAGGGATGGGGATGAGGATGATGAGGATGAGGACGGGGATGAGGACCTGGGTACCTCTTGCTGCGGCGGAACATGGCGCTGCCGGAGCGGGGGGGAGGGGGCGGTGGGGGGGGGGTGGGGGGGGTGCACCGGGGGGGTGGGGGGGGGGATGGGGGGGCTCCGGGGGGCTCCGGGGGGGGGGAGGGGGGGGATGTTCGGGGGCTCCGGGGCGGCGGCAGCTGGGGGGGGGGAGGGGGGAGGAGAGCGGCGGCTGCAAAGGGGAGGGGCCGGAGGCGGAGCCTGGGTGGGATCTGGGGGCAATGGGGGGTAATGGGGGGCTATAGGGGACAATGGGGGTCAATGGAGGACAATGGGGGTCAATGGGGGGCAATAGGGGGTATGGGTAGCAATGGGGGTCAATGGGGGACAATGGGGGGCAATGGGGGTCGATGGGGGGTAATGGGGCAATGGGGTAATGGGGGGTAATGGGGGTAATGGGGGGCAATAGGGGGGTAATGGGGGGCAATAGGGGGGTAATGGGGGGGTTAGGGGGCTAATGGGGGGCAGTGGGGGGTAATGGGGCAATGCGAGGTAATGGGGGGCAATAGGGTGGTAATGGGGGGCAATGGGGGGCAATGGGGGGGTATAGGGAGAAATGGGGGAAATGAGGGGCAATGGGGGTAATTGGGGCAGTGGGGGGCAATGGGGGGGCAATGGGGGGCAATGGGGGGTAATGGGGGGCAATGGGGGGCAATGGGGGACAATGGGGGGCAATGGGGGGGGAATGGGGGGCAATGGGGGGCAATGGGGGGGTAATGGGGGGCTATGGGAGGGGAATGGGGGGGAATGGGGGTCAATGGGGGGCAATGGGGGGCAATGGGGGGTCAATGGGGGGCAATGGGGGGGTCCTCACCTGCTGCTTTTCCGTGGCAGGGGCAGATCCTTCTGCAGAACAGGCCAAAGGGTGGCGAGCGCCCCAACACACCCCCCCCCCCCCGATCCAGACCCCCCCCAACCCCGCATCTCACTGGGGGGGGGGCACCCCGAACCCTTCCTATTGCTATGGGGGGGGCAAAAAGGACCCCCTTAAACATCACCCCCCCACACACCGCATCCTTCTGGGTACCAGGTGAGCATCATCATCCCCCCCCCCCCAAACGGGCCTACATCCCCCGTTACCGTTACCGATATCCCCCCCCGGTCCCAATGCGCCCCCCCCATTACCGAACCCCCCCCTTCCATCCGGTCCCTTTGCCCCCCCCCATTCCCCCCCCCCATTCCCGATCCCCCCCCATCCGGTCCCATTGCCCCCCTCCCCCCCCGTTACCGAACCCCCCCATCCGGTCCCATTGCCCCCCTCCCCCATTCCCCTCCCCCCATTCCCGATCCCCCCCCATTCGTGTCCCATTGCCCCCCCCCCCGTTACCAACCCCCCCCCCATCCCATTGTCCCATTGTCCCCCCCCCCCCATTACCGACCCCCCCCCCATCCGGCCCCATTGCCCCCCCCCCCATTACTGATTCCCCCCCTATCCGGTCCCATTGCCCCTCCCCCCCCGTTACCGATCCCCCCCATTCGGTCCCAATGCGCCCCCCCCATTACTGATCCCCCCCCCATCCGGCCCCATTGCCCCCCTCCCCCCCCCATTACCGCCCCCCCCCATCCAGTCCCATTGCCCCCCTCCCCCCCCATTACCGATTCCCCCCCACCCCCCCCGGTTCCAATCCCCCCCTCCCCCCATACCCGATCCCCCCCCATCCGGTCCCATTGCCCCCCCCCGTTACCGATCCTTCCCCCCCCCCCCCGGTACCTGCAGCCGCCGCCTCCGGATCACACCGGAATCGTCCATTGCGATGCTTGGGGGGGGGGGGGACACGGACGACGACGACGACGAGATTTGGGGGGGGGGGGGAGGAGATTTTGGGGGGGGGTGGGGAGAGGGGGGGAAGGAAAGAAGGGGGGACCGAATCCCGGTGCCCCCCCCCTCAACCTCCCGCCGCCATCCGGACCCCCCGCGATCGCTCCGCCCCCTCCCACAGGCCCCGCCCAGCCCCGCCCTGGGGTGGGGGGGTGGTACCAAGTTGGGGGGGGGGGGGTTTAACCCCTGCGGTACCATGGACCCCCCCCCCCCCATAATCATGGTGCGCTCCCCCTCCCCTCTCGCTGCTGTCCATGGTGCTGAACCTTTTGGGGGGGGGGGGGGGGGCGGTTGTGGGGCGCTCCCCCCCCCCACACTTGTGGGTTGATCCCTATAATCCATCGGGATTGAGGACACGGCCCGATTAACGGGGGGGGGGGGGGGGGGCACAAACACCATCGTGGGCCCCCCCCCATTGTTAATATGGGGGACACCCCCAAAAGAGCCTTCCCCATAGAGAATGATGGGAAACCCCCCCCCCCTGCAACCCAAAGACACCCCCTAACCCCATAGAGCCCCCCCCCCAATTCCATTGACCCCCCCCCCCAAAACCCATACAATCCCCCCCCAATAAAAAGTGGATTTGGGGTCTTTTATTGTTGTTTTATTGGGGGGGGGGGGGCAATTTTGGGGGGGTCAGAGGTCATCCATGGGGTGCAGTCTTCGCTCCTGGAAGAAGCGGTGGGGGGGGCGCCCTTGGGGGGGGGTGCGGGCAAAGTAGGACAGGAGCGAGGGGGGGGCCGTGGGGTCGCTTTCGGGGTCCTCATCCACCCTGGGGGGGGCAATGGGGGGGTCAAAGGGCACAGACCCCCCCCCCATTGACACACCCCCCCCCCCCCGTGCCCCATTTCACCCTAGGGGCCCCCCCTTCATATTTCTTTATGGGGACCCCCCCTTCATATGAGGACTCCTCCCCTATCACCCCCCCCTTTATGGGGACCCTCTTTATATGGGCCCCTCCCTTCACACCCCATTATGGGGACCCCCCCCCCCTACACATTATAGGGGGACCCCCCCTTCTATGGGCCCTCTCCATCACCCCCTCCCTTTACCCTATGGGGTCCCCCCCACTTCTTGCCCCCCCTTTACCCCCTATTGGGGTGCCCCCCCCCAGGTCCATACCACATTATGGGGACCCCCCCTTCTATGGGCCCTCTCCATCACCCCCTCCCTTTACCCTATGGGGTCCCCCCCACTTCTTGCCCCCCCCTTTACCCCTATTGGGGTGCCCCCCCCCCAGGTCCATACCACGTTACGGGGACCCCCCCTTCTATGGGGCCTCTCCATCACCCCCTCCCTTTACCCTATGGGGTCCCCCCCATTATTGGATCCCCCCTTTACCCCATTATTGGGTGCCCCCCCCCCATTATTGGGGTGCCATACCACATTAATGGGGCCCCCCTCCCATTATATGGGCCTGCCCCACCCCCTCCCTTTACCCTATGGGACCCCCCCATTATTGGAGTGCCCCCCCCCATTATTGGGGTGCCCCCCCCCGGGGTGCCCCCCCACATTATGGGGAGCCCCCCACATTATTGGGCCCTCTCCATCACCCCCTCCCTTTAATATATGGGGTCCCCCCCACTTCTTGCCCCCCCTTTCCCCCCTATTGGGGTGCCCCCCCCCCCAGGGATACCCCCTCATTATTGGGGTGCCCCCCTTTATAGGGGTGCTCTCCATCACCCCCTCCCATTACCCTATGGGGTCCCCCCATTCTTGGGTGCCCCCCCCCCTATTGGGGTGCCCCCCCCCCGGGGTCCCCCCATTATGGGGACCCCCCCCCATTATATGGGCCCCCCATCACCCCCTCCCATTATTGGGGTGCCCCCCCATTATTGGGGTCCCCCCATTATTGGGGTGCCCCCTCCACATTAATAGGGTCCCCCCATTATTGAGCTACCCCACCCATTATTGGGTTCCCCCCATTATTGGGGTGCCCCCTCCACATTATTGGGGTGCCCCCATTATTGGGGTGCCCCCCTCTCCATTATAGGGCTGCCCCCTCATTATTGGGGCTCCCCCCTCCACATTAACAGGGTCCCCCCATTATAGAGCTACCCCCCCATTATTGGGTTCCCCCCATTATTGGGGTGCCCCCCGCCATTAGGGGGTCCCCCCCATACCACCCCCCCCTTTATTATAGGGTCCCCCCCCCCCCCCTCATTATTGGGGTGCCCCCCTCCACATTAACAGGGTCCCCCCATTATAGAGCTACCCCCCTATTATTGGGGTCCCCCCATTATTGGGGTGCCACCTCCATATTATTGGGGTCCCCCCATTATTGGGGCTCCCCCCTCCACATTAACAGGGTCCCCCCCATTATTGGGGCTCTCCCCATCACCCCCTCCCCCTCCACATTATGGGTCCCCCCATTATTGAGGGTCTACCCCCCCCCCCCCATTATTGGGGTGCCCCCCATTATTGGGGTGCCCCCCCCCCAGGTCCATACCACGTTACGGGGACCCCCCCTCCCCGCAGCAGCTCCTTGGCCGTGCCCCAGCTGAAGCGCACGAGTTGGGGGAACCCGAACACGGGCTCCAGGCTCCTCCGCAGCCACTCCTTGGTTTTGGGGTCTGCGATGGGATGGGGGGGGTGAGAGAAAGGGGGGGGCACCCCCAAAGTGATGGGGTTCCCCCCCCCCCAATTGGTTCCATCCTCACCATGGGGATATGGGGTCGATGATGCTCAATGGGGGGCATGGTGGGCTACCTATGGGGGGCATGGGGATATGGGGGGGATGGGGGATATGGGGGGGATGGGGGATATGGGGGGGGATATGGGGGATATATGGGGCGGGCATGGGGATATGGGGGGCATGGGGATATGGGGGGGGGATGGGGGGGTATGGGGGGGAATGGGGGGCATGGGGGGATATGGGGATATGGGGGGGGATATGGGGGGGGTATGGGGGGGGATATGGGGGGGGATATGGGGCGGGGATATGGGGGGGGGATATGGGGGGGATATGGGGGGTCAATGGGAGGAATGGGGGTCAATGGGGATGGGGGGAATGGGGGGGGGGGATGGGGGCATGGAGGGCAATGGGGACATGGGGGGCAACGGGGACAATGGGGGCAATGGGGATATGGGGGGCAATGGGGATATGGGGAGCCATGGGTACAATGGGGGCAATGGGGATATGGGGGGCCATAGGGACAATGGGGGCAATGGGGGTATGGGGGGGAATGGGGGGGGAATGGGGGGTGATGGGGTTCTATGGGGGGCTATGGGGTTCTATGGGGGGAAATGGGGTGGGAATGGGGGGGGATGGGGGGCATATGGGGGGATGGGGGTGGGATGGGGGGAATGGGGATGGGGGGGGGATGGGGGGGGGATGGGGGGATGGGGGGATATGGGGATGGGGGGGGGATGGGGGGATGGGGAATGGGGGGGGGGGATGGGGAGCAATGGGGGATGGGGGGGATGGGGATATGGGGGGGGGGATGGGGATATGGGGGCAATGGGGACATGGAGGCAATGGGGTGCAATGGGGATATGGGGATATGGGGGGGGATATGGGGATATGGGGGGGGATATGGGGATATGGGGGGGCATGGGGATATGGGGGGGGAATGGGGATATGGGGGGGAATGGGGGGCATATGGGGACATGGGGGGAATGGGGGGGGTGGGGATATGGGGGGGATATGGGGGGACAATGGGGGGGGGGCAATGGGGATATGGGGGGATATGCGGATATGGGGGGGATGGGGGGGAATATGGGGGTATGGGGGTATGGAGGGGGATGGGGGGCATATGGGGGGGGGGGGGATGGGGATATGGGGGGAATGGGGGATATGGAGGGGGACGTGGGGGGGGATATAGGGGGGTATGGGGAGGACATGGGGGGGATATGGGGGGGCATGGGGGGCAGGGGGGGGATATGGGGGGGATATGGGGGGAATGGGGATGGGGGGGAATGGGGATATGGGGGGGAATGGGGATATGGGGGGGGGATATGGGGGATGGGGATATGGGGGGGAATGGGGATATGGGGGGGGATGGGGATATGGGGGGGCATGGGGATATGGGGGGGGAATGGGGATATGGGGGGGGAAGGGGTTGGGGGGGGTCTTGGGGGGGTCCTGAGGGGTTTTAAGGGGGATTTAGGAGGGGATGAGGGGGTGCTGTTGGGGGGGGGCACCTTGGTGCAGATGCTGGGGGGCTATGGGGGGGTTATGGGGGGGTTATGGGGGGGCTATGGGGGGGCTATGGGGTGATCCTCACCTTGGTGCAGATGCTGGGGGGCTATGGGGGGGCTATGGGGGGGTTATGGGGGGGCTATGGGGTGATCCTCACCTTGGTGCAGATGCTGGGGGGCTATGGGGGGGCTATGGGGGGGGCTATGGGGTGATCCTCACCTTGGTGCAGATGCTGGGGGGGCTATGGGGGGTCTATGGGGGTCAATGGGGGGTGTATGGGGGGTTAATGGGGGGCTATGGGGGTCAATGGGGCCTATGGGGGGCTATGGGGGGGCTATGGGGGGGTTATGGGGGTCTGCGAGCGGCAATGGGGGGCTATGGGGGGCTATGGGGGGGCTATGGGGGTCTGCGAGCGGCAATGGGGGGCTATGGGGGGGTTATGGGGGGGGCTATGGGGTGATCCTCACCTTGGTGCAGATCCTGGGGGGTTATGGGGGGTCTATGGGGGAGCTATGGGGGGGGCTATGGGGTGATCCTCACCTTGGTGCAGATGCTGGGGGGCTATGGGGGGGTTATGGGGGGGCTATGGGGGGGGCAATGGAGGGATCCTCACCTTGGCGCAGATGCTATGGGGCGCTATGGGGCGCTATGGGGCGCTATGGGGCGCTATGGGGCGGTCCCCACCTTGGCGCAGATGCTATGGGGCGCTATGGGGCGCTATGGGGCGCTCCCCACCTTGGCGCAGATGCTATGGGGCGCTATGGGGCGCTATGGGGCGCTCCCCACCTTGGCGCAGATGCTATGGGGCGCTATGGGGCGCTATGGGGCGGTCCCCACCTTGGCGCAGATGCTATGGGGGCGCTATGGGTCGCTATGGGTCGCTATGGGTCGCTATGGGTCGCTATGTGTCGCTATGGGGCGCTATGGGTCGCTATGGGTCGCTATGGGTCGCTATGGGGCGCTATGGGTCGCTATGTGTCGCTATGGGGCGCTATGGGTCGCTATGGGTCGCTATGGGGCGCTATGGGGCGCTATGGGTCGCTATGTGTCGCTATGGGGCGCTATGGGTCGCTATGGGTCGCTATGGGGCGCTATGGGGCGCTATGGGTCGCTCTGGGGCGCTCTGGGGCGCTATGGGTCGCTATGTGTCGCTATGGGGCGCTATGGGTCGCTATGGGTCGCTATGGGTCGCTATGGGTCGCTATGGGTCGCTATGGGTCTCTATGGGTCGCTATGGGTCGCTATGGGTCTCTATGGGGCGCTATGGGGCGCTATGGGGCGCTATGGGGCGCTATGGGTCGCTATGGGTTGCTATGGGGCGCTATGGGGCGCTATGGGGCAGTCCCCACCTTGGCGCAGATGCTATGGGGCGCTATGGGGCGCTATGGGGCGCTATGGGTCGCTATGGGCCGCTATGGGGCGCTATGGGTCGCTATGGGGCGCTATGGGGCGCTATGGGTCGCTATGGGGCGCTATGGGGCGCTATGGGTCGCTATGGGGCGCTATGGGGCGCTCCCCACCTTGGCGCAGATGCTGGCCGCGCTCACCACCGGGAAGCTGCTGTCGGCGCGGGGGCAGACGGTGACCCCCAGCCCCGGGAAGCGCAGGCGCAGCTTGGCTGCGTACGGCTCCGCCGGCCCCACCGTGTCCACCAGGAGCTGCGGGAGAGCCCAAATAACCCCAAAGTAACCCAAAAACGCCCAAAATCACCCCAAAATAACACAAAATCACCCCAAATCGCCCCAAAACAGCCCTAAATAACCCAAACCCAGCCCAAATCACCCCAAATCACCCCAAAACAGCCCCCAAAATCCCAAAACAGCCCAAAATTACCCCAAAACAGCCCTAAAACAGCCCAAAATAACCCAAAACAGCCCAAAATCACCCCAAAACAGCCCAAAGTAACCCCAAATAACCCAAAACAGCCCAAAATCACCCCAAAATAACCCCAAATCACCCCAAAACAGCCCAAAATACCCCAAAACCGCCCAAAATAACCCAAAACCGCCCAAATTCACCCCAAAAGAGCCCAAAATAACCCAAAACCTGCCCAAAATTACCCAAAATAACCACAAAACAGCTCCAAATAATCCAAAACAGCCCAAAATAACCCAAAATAACCCCAAAATAACCCAAAATCACCCCAAAACCAGCCCAGAACAGCCCAAAATCACCCCAGAACAGCCCAAAATCACCCCAAAACAGCCCAAAATACCCCAAAACCAGCCCAAAATACCCCAAAACAGCCCCAAATAACCCAAAACCAGCCCAAAATAACCCCAAATCACCCCAAAACAGCCCAAAATCAACCCAAATGACCCCCAAAACACCCCAAAATAACCCCAAAACAGCCCAAAGTAACCCCAAATCACCCCAAAACAGCCCTAAAACAGCCCAAAATAACCCAAAATCACCCCAAATCACCCCAAAACCAGTCCAAAAAAAACCAAAACAGCCCAAAATAACCCCAAATCACCCCAAACCACCCCCAAACCAGCCCCAAACCACCCCCAAATCACCCCAAACCAGCCCCAAATCACCCCAAATCACCCCCAAACCACCCCCAAATCAGCCCCAAATCAGCCCAAAATCACCCCAAACCAGCCCCAAATCACCCCAAATCACCCCCAAATCACCCCAAACCAGCCCAAAATCACCCCCAAACAGCCCCAAATCACCCCCAAGTCACCCCAAATCACCCCAAATCACCCCAAACCAGCCCAAATCACCCCCAAAACCACCCCCAAATCACCCCAAATCACCCCAAATCACCCCCAAACCACCCCCAAATCACCCCAAATCACCCCCAAACCACCCCCAAATCACCCCCAAAAGACCCCAAATCACCCCCAAACCAGCCCCAAATCACCCCCAAATCACCCACCCCCAAAATCACCCCAAATCCCCCCAAATCACCCCCAAACCCCCCAAATCACCCCAAATCACCCCAAATCACCCCCAAATCACCCCAAATCACCCCAAATCAAACCAGCCCCAAATCACCACAAAATCTGGCCACTCGTGCCCCAAATCACCCCCAAACCAGCCCCAAATCACCCCAAAATCACCCCAAATCACCCAAAATCACCCAAAATCACACCAAAATCACCCCAAATCACCCCCAAACCAGCCCCAAATCACCCCCAAATCACCCCCAAATCAGCCCCAAAATCACCCCAAACCAGCCCCAAATCACCCCCAAATCACCCCAAACCACCCCAAAATCACCCCAAAACCCCCCAAATCACCCCAAAACACCCCCAAACCACCCCCAAATCACCCCCAAACCCCCCAAATCACCCCCAAACCAAATCCCCCCAAACAGCCCCAAATCACCCCCAAATCACCCCCAAATCACCCCAAAACAGCCCCAAATCACCCCAAAAGACCCCAAATCACCCCAAAACAGCCCCAAATCACCCCAAAATTACCCCAAACCAGCCCCAAATCACCCCAAAACCAGCCCCAAACCACCCCAAAATCACCCCCAAACCACCCCCAAATCACCCCAAAATCACCCCAAACCACCCCAAATCACCCCAAAACCCCCCAAAACACCCCCAAATCACCCCCAAACACCCCCAAATCACCCCCAAACAGCCCCAAATCACCCCCAAATCAGCCCCAAAATCACCCCAAACAAGCCCCAAATCACCCCAAACCAGCCCCCCCAAATCACCCCAAAACACCCCAAATCACCCCCAAAAACGCCCAAAACTCCCCCAATTCACCCCAAAAAAGACCCCAAAAAACCCCAAAACAACCCCAAATTCCCCCCAAATCACCCCCAAATCACCCCAAACCACCCCCAAACCACCCCCAAATCACCCCCAAATCACCCCAAACCAGCCCCAAATCACCCCCAAACCAGCCCCAAATCACCCCAAAATCACCCCAAATCACCCCCAAACCACCCCCAAATCACCCCCAAACCACCCCAAATCACCCCCAAATCAGCCCCAAATCACCCAAAACAGCCCCAAATCACCCCAAAACAGCCCCAAATCACCCCAAAACAGCCCAAAATCACCCAAAACAGCCCCAAATCACCCCAAAACTGCCAAAAATCACCCCAAAATCACCCCGAAACAGCCCAAAATCACCCCAACCCCCCCCCAAATCACCCCAAAACAGCCCCAAAATGGCCCCAAATCACCCCCAAACCACCCCAAAATGACCCCAAATCACCCCAAAACCACCCCCAAAACCCCCCAAACCACCCCCAAATCACCCCCAAACCACCCCCAAACCAGCCCCAAATCACCCCCAAACAGCCCCAAATCACCCCCAAATCCCCCCAAATCACCCCCAAACCACCCCCAAACCAGCCCCAAATCACCCCAAAAGACCCCAAATCACCCCAAAACCCCCAAAACACCCCCAAATCCACCCCAAAATCACCCCCAAACCACCCCAAACCCCCAAAATCACCCCAAAACAGCCCCAAATCACCCCAAAATCACCCCAAAACAGCCCCAAATCACCCCAAAATCACCCCAAATTCCCCCAAAACAGCCCCTAATCACCCCAAAATCACCCCCAAACCACCCCCAAATCACCCCCAAAACCACCCCCAAACCACCCCCCCCCCAAATCACCCCCAAATCACCCCAGAACAACCCAAATCAGCCCCAAATCACCCTAAAATCACCCCCAAACCCCCCCAAATCACCCCAAAATCCCCCCTAAATCACCCCAAAACCACCCCCAAACCCCCCAAATCACCACAAATCACCCCAAAACCACCCCAAACCCCCCCCAAATCACCCCAAAGTAACCCAAAAATCCCACCCCAAATCAGCCCCAAATCACCCCAAATCACCCCCAAATCACCCCAAAACGGCCCCAAATCACCCTAAACCAGCCCCAAATCACCCCAAATCAAAATCCCCCAGCCCAAATCCCCCCCAAACCACCCCCAAATCACCCCAAAACCAGCCAAAACCAGCCCAAACCACCCCCAAATCACCCCAAAACACCCCAAAACAACCAAATGCCCCCAAATCACCCCCAAATCACCCCAAAACACCCCCAAATCACCCCAAAATCAAAATGGCCCCAAATCCCCCCAAATCACCCCCAAATCACCCCAAAACCCCCCAAATCACCCCAAATCACCTCCCAAAATCACCCCAAATGACCCCCCAAATCACCCCCAAATCACCGCAAACCACCCCAAAACCACCCCAAATCACCCCAAAATCACCCCAAAAATCACTGCAAATCACTCCAAATGCCCCCAAATCACTCCAAATCACCCCAAAATCACCCCAAATCACCCAAAATCACCCCCAAATCACCCAAAATCACCCCAAAATGACCCCAAATCACCCCCAAATCACCCCACCCCCCCCCCAAATCACCCCAAAATCACCCAAATTACCCCAAATCACCCCAAATTGCACCAAAATCACCCCAAATCACCCCAAATCACCCCAAAATCACCCCAAAATCACCCCAAAACAGCCCCAAATCACCCCCAAATGACCCCAAACAGCCCCAAAATGGCCCCAAATCACCCCAAAACAGCCCCGAAAATGGCCCCAAATCACCCCCAAACCACCCCAAAATGACCCCAAATCACCCCAAAATGACCCCAAATCACCCCAAAATCACCCCGAAACAGCCCAAAATCACCCAAAACTGCCCCAAATCACCCCAAAACAGCCCCAAATCACCCCAAAACAGCCCCAAATCACCCCAAAATCACCCCAAAACAGCCCCAAATCACCCCAAAATGGCCCCAAATCACCCCAAAATGGCCCCAAATCACCCCAAACCACCCCCAAATCACCCCAAAAGACCCCAAATCACCCCAAAATGGCCCCAAATCACCCCAAAATGGCCCCAAATCACCCCCAAACCACCCCCAAATCACCCCCAAATCACCCCCAAATCACCCCCAAACCAGCCCCAAATCACCCCCAAACCAGCCCCAAACCAGCCCCAAATCACCCCCAAATCACCCCAAATCACCCCCAAATCACCCCCAAACCAGCCTAAAACCAGCCCCAAATCACCCCCAAATCACCCCAAAATGGCCCCAAATCACCCCCAAAGTAACCCCAAAACGGCCCCAAAATTACCCCAAAACAGCCCCAAATCACCCCCAAACCACCCCAAAATGACCCCAAATCACCCAAAAATGACCCCAAATCACCCCAAATCACCCAAAAATGACCCCAAATCACCCCAAAATGACCCCAAATCACCCCAAACCACCCCCAAACCACCCCCAAATCACCCCAAACCAGCCCCAAATCACCCCCAAACCAGCCCCAAATCACCCCAAAATCACCCCCAAATCACCCCAAATCACCCCCAAACCACCCCAAAATCACCCCCAAATCACCCCAAAATGGCCCCAAAATCACCCCCAAATCACCCCAAATCACCCCCAAACCAGCCCCAAATCACCCCAAATCACCCCAAAATGGCCCCAAATCACCCCCAAAGTAACCCCAAAACGGCCCCAAAATTACCCCAGACCAGCCCCAAATCACCCCAAAATAACCCCAAACCAGCCCAAAATCACCCCAAATCACCCCCAAATCACCCCCAAATCCACCCCAAATCACCCCCAAACCACCCCCAAAAGACCCCAAATCACCCTAAAAGACCCCAAATCCCCCCAAATCACCCCAAAATGACCCCAAACCACCCCAAATCTCCCCACCCCCCCCAACCCCACCTCCGCCACCCGCACGCCGCTGTCGAGCGCAAACTGCACCAGCCCCATAGCGGTGTCGTGGGAGAGCTCGTTCAGGTTGTACTTGGATCTATGGGGGCAAGGGGGGGTCTATGGGGGGCTATGGGGTCTATGGGGGTCTATGGGGGTCTATGGGGGGGCTATGGGGGGTCTATGGGGGGGCTATGGGGTCTATGGGGGGTCTATGGGGGTCTATGGGGGTCTATGGGGGTCTATGGGGGGGGGTCTATGGGGGGTCTATGGGGGTCTATGGGGGGTGTATGGGGGGGGTTGGGGTCTATGGGGGGTCTATGGGGGGTCTATGGGGGGGTCTATGGGGGGGTTTGGGGTCTATGGGGGTCTATGGGGGGGGGTTGGGGTCTATGGGGGGCTGTATGGGAGTCTTATGAGGGGGTTTGGG